GGTAGGGAATATTGCAGATTTTTGCCAGAAATACATGTTGGGTAAGGGTTTTGGGAAGCGGGCCACACACCCCCACCCAATTTTTCTGGCAGTACCCCCCTTCCCATCCTGGAAACCACTTGAAATAGCTTTTCTTTCAGTTCACATGACATTACGTAGTACTACACTGTACTACATACACCATTCATACAATTGAAAACTTTTTATGGCAAAAAGCAGATAAAATTGTCACCATGTGATCACTTCCTTTGATTCAACACCCAAAAGCAATGGTGCATGAAATGGCCCAAATAAAAAGCCATTTGAACAAACATATAAGATCAAAAGTACATAGCACTCACCAACAACCATAAGTGTAAACTCAAAACCTTTCTTTACAGATTTGCGATGCACTTGGTTAGGAAGATTAGCAAATCCAACATAACCTGGTTCCTAAAAGTGGAACACAAACAAATTGACTGACATGTACTTTACTATTGTCAAATAATTTTTCAACCCCTTCTTTTCCCACTGATACCCTGGGCTACTGACATACGGTCTCACCACCACCTTCACAAAAAATAATTACATAATGGGTGGGGTGTGCAGGGGATCACCTGATCTTCCGGTGATGGACGTCCGCAACGTGACGAAACACAAAGTAAACACTGGCCGAGGGATTTTATGCCACCTAATTACGTGAATGAATGAAACCGGATAAATAGTGATTTTACAAGGTTTGAGTTGCGATTGAAGTTCGAAGAAAAAACAAAAAAACATCTTACCGCAAAATACATACTCAGACGCCCTCGCGGATTAAGAGGATGATTTAATCGAATTCCGATCTAAATTTGTGCATTATCAGCATTCAAATTGTAACTTTCGATTTCAATATCTCAATATTGGCCATTTATAGACGGATCTTTCAAACCATAAAAATAGTTCTAATTTTAACCAGTACATAAAGAGCCATTACTTTATCGCATATGATAACAGCTGTTTAAAAAGACTTACATGCGTTGAGTGATGCAGAATTACGAGTTAAGCTTCTTTGGAACATAAATGCACAAAATTGCCAAGCCGGAATTTCGCATCGATTTTCTCAAATGGCAACCTGCACTGCGTTAAGCTAAATGATTGAAGCATTTTGTTGTCCGAGTAAGTAATTATTATGCTTCATTATTGATTAGCCTGTTAAATTTCTTAAGAATGAGTGAAAGGGTG